GCACTGAAGCACGTTATCGGGATCCGATAAGCTCCGCCTGAGCGTGTACAGAGCGTCTCCTTCGGAGTTTCCATAGACCAAGGGAACGAGGCTCACGGTTAGGGTTAGGGTCAACAAACAGCAGGCCGCCGCCATGGCCATGGTTGACTCTGATACAGCTAGCTCTAAGAAGAAGATTCCTGAGAAGATTCAAAATCTCTTCAGCTTTCTACAAAATTTGTACTTGCAATAGGGGCTTTGCCTTTAATCTTTAATTACTTTTTTCCTGTTTTGCGTTTTGCGGGTTTTGGTTGTTTGTGAGAGAGACAGAGACAGAGACAGCAGAGTCAAAGGGTCAAGAGAAGGAAAATGAGAAGGATCGGCTTTGGGACTCACAGAGTAAAAACATGGTCTTTTCTTAAATCATTTTCTTTCTTACCTTTTTATTTTTATTTTTTGTGTTGGATTGGATTGGATGATATGATTTCTTCATTTCTTCTTCTTTTATTACTCTGAGTGGTGGTGGATGAACTAATGGAGTTGTTCCACTTACCAACTACCACTGAAATGAAATTCTCACTACTTTGCCAAAAGAACATTTAAGAGTTTGGTTTTCTCTTCTCATTCTTATTTTATGGGGAATTAGGTGACTATCTCGAGCCTATAAGATTTTAGAAGACTTTAAAAATTCGGGTGTATTTAATTTGGATTTTATGAACTTTTAAAGAGTGTATAAAAGTTTGGGTGTCTTCAATTCAAATTTGTTTGAACTCTTAAAAAGTTCATAAAAATCTCGGTGTATTCAACTACCGTAAGCTTGGAAAAATGAAAAAATAAAACTTGGGATTTCATGATTCCAAAAGGAAAATTCGTGCATTTGGCAAAATCAACTCAGGATTTTGCAAATCAGATGCTGGAAATAAGGAGGGATTTCCTAATCCAAAATCCCAAGTTCAAATCCTATCATAATGGGCAGAATTTTGCAAATCTCAAGTGCGGCGGGAATTTCATTTGATGCGCGCCAAACAATGACGGAGCTAGAATTCTTAGCATGGAGTTGCCAAAATTTCAAAATGACTTCCACATAGGTTTTTCATCTTCAACTGAAAGGGCTAGCACTAATCTAATTGCAGTAATTGTATTACTATATCATATATTTTATAATATATTACAAGTGGGCTAGGCCCTTGGCAAGTCTTGCTATGGGTCCATCCTTGAAGCCAAATCTCTTCACTAGATATAGGAGGCCATACCCATATCTGTGTTTGATATTCAATTTAATCGTCTTTTTTATCTGATGGAATCTCATCTTTGGTTTTCAGATTATTGCTCTCTCTGCCTTTCAATCTAAGCCTATGTGTTGCTCCAAGTAATAGTCTCGACTTATTCTTGCTCTTCAAATTTTTTATTTATAGCAATTTATGACTTTAGATTATGGATTCATTATGTTTATTTGTTCATCACTAGATGTTGTAATTATGGTCTATATTTGATTTTTAGAGACTATCCAGTTATCTAGGGCATATGAATGCGTGTGTTAAAATAAAGTTTTATAAACTTGTTTGATCATATAACAACACTATAAAAGTTAAAGATTTAGCAAGAAGAGCAGTTCCTCTTCAAATAAAACAAGTTTTTGAATACCCTTTTGGGCTAGAATGATCCAGGGGTGAGTCTAGTGGTTTTTGAATATGCATTTGTGTTGAGGGAGTTGTAATGGGTGTGGTGAGTGATTCTTGAATGATCCAGGGTGTGTTGAGGGGGATATGAATATGCTTTTGTGAGGGAATAAAACTGCTTTATAAATGCCCTCATCATATTTGAAAGCTTTGTGAAATTTGCAAATTTTTTGGTTTTATAAAAGGCAAGCAGACTGTTGCTTGATGTGTATACAAATAGTTTGTTGTAGTAATGTTCATGGTCAACTACATGAAATTTGTAACGTCTGTGTGGGAACATGAATTTTTGGCAACCAATCAGAAGGTGACATGTGTAAAAAGGAATATTTCTTAAGTCAAATAATTATGCTAATTAAATACCAATTATCCTGATTTAAGATAGAAATATCTCCCTAAATCAAGGATTCGATTTCCACCAAATCTCTTTGGGCCATCTCCAACCATGTTGGGGCTAAACTCAAATTTCCACCCTCCAAAATACAACTATTCATGTATTTTCAGGACTCAAAAAAAAAATTTCCTCCAACCTTGCAGACTCATAATTTGAGTACGCAACTTTATTAAATTGTTTAAAAATGATTAACCCCTAAATTTTTTTTCTCGTTAATTTTTCTTGACATTATTTTTGTTTCAACATTCATGATTTAATTTTCTAAACATTTTAACCTAAAAAATTAAAATTCCAAAACATAATAGAATTTCACTTAAAAATAAAAACAAGTACAACAACATTTTATTTCATGGACTTTGAAAGGAAAACCAAGTAGCACACGATTTATATTAAAAACAATGGAACCACATGACTTATTTGGTTAGTTGCAATGTGGTCACAACATCTACATCATCCCAATCTATAGCGCCTGGAATTGCTACTTTTGCGTATGCCCGGAATAATTTGAACCCTTCATTGAAGCCATTGCCATAATTGTCTTCCATTTTTACTTTTACTTTTACTTTTACTTCATTGGATTCCTTTATCTTGATTCAATAATGTTCTGAACTTTTGCCCACCTCCACTTGTGTTCTTCAATTATTTTATGAACCCTTTCACATCTCTTATTGTCTTGTTTCAATCAAGTTCTGAACCATTGCTCATTTTGTCCATCTCACTTTATTGGATGCCCTTATCTTTCCCTATCTTTATTCAATAATTTTTTGAACCATTTCCTATCTCTTATTGTCTTATTTCAATCATGTTCTGAACCATTGTTCATCTTTGTTCATCTCACTTTATTGGATTCCCTTATCTTTCCCTATCTTTTCCCATCTTCATTTTATTATTTTCAAACATGTAGGTCATCTCATTCTCTTGTCTATTTAAGAAGTGTTATTCTACCCAATTGACCACACAGTCTTCTTCAATCTCATTCTCCTTCTTACAATGAATTTATGTGGAAAGGCTATACAAAATTTCTTCAATGATGATTCTGATGATAATGACCTTCATCAACAGAAGGTTGCAATGGTCGTTCAACACCATACGTTTTGTTGGAGCAGTATGCTCAACAATCCAAACATGGTGGTTCTGTTGTAGGTTGTGAATACAAGAATCGGAACAGATAAAAACATCATAAGAGTCTCATGGAGGACTACTTTTGTGAAAGACCACTTTATCCTCCAGTGGACTTTTGCAGGAGGTTTCGCATGAGAAGAGAGCTTTTCTATCACATCTTGAATGATGTTGTTGCAGATGAGCCATACTTTACCCAGAAGATAGACACTTATGGATGACAAAGTCTATCCCCAAAGTAGAAACTAACGGCCGTTTTTCGAATGCTCACATATGGATGCTTAGCATACTCCACCAATGAGTACTGTAGATTGGGTGAATCTATAGCCCTTGAATGTTTGCGAAAGTTTTGTGCCGTTATTGAAGTTGTGTATGGCCGGTGGTTGTTGCATTTCTAAAAGGACACAAATTAATGTGCAAACAACCAATTAAAAATACCCGCAAGTGCACGAATCTATTGAAGTATAGATTATGTAAGTACGGGGTCGATCCCACGAAGAACTTGTCGGCTTCCTATAAGTTCTAATTTGAGTACAAAGAGAACACTTAATTAACACACCACAAATGCACAAATGAAAGAGGGAAACTAGAAATGAGTAAAGAAGTGTAAAAGAAATAAAACAACACAAGAAAACTAAAGAAAAACACAAACAGCACTTTTTATCACCCTTTTATCACCTTTTATCACCTATGAACAGTGCTAAAGCGACCGGTCGTGAGGCAGAAGCGACCGGTCGTTTTTGGGCAGAGTCGAAACTCAAATTTTGACGTGAAAAGCGACCGGTCGTCAGGTAAAAGCGACCGGTCGTTTTTGGGCAGATTCGTTTTCTCTGTTTTTCAGTTTCGACCTCTGTCCAGTGTTTTGCCAATAACTTTCCAAGGCAGTTCGTTCCTAATTGGAGTGGTTGGTGTATTCCATACTTCTAGCGATTGGATTTCACTCAAAACTCACCAAATGATTCC